TTAAACGGCCAATCCGGTTCCTGGGTATCATAGACACAGTGGGCGCACTCGGTATCCCGCGCCTGAATGCAGGGATAGGATTTGACTGGTCCCCGTTCGAGTTCTTCGATCAAACCGTTTCAAGCGTCGTACAGCATGTATACCACGCGCCCTGTCTGCACGACCGTCTCTGGATCTTCCAGCCTTGTCTCGTGTACCCCAACGAAGACGACGAAGAGGAGAAGGACAAGGCTGTGGTGAACCAACGCTGGTTCCCAGGCACCCACTACGACGTCGGTCGCATGACTTTCCGCTTCGTGCGGCAAAGCCCCGCGAACTGGATCGAAGACGCGCTGGGCTGGCTTCCGAATCTCCTCTCGCGGACTATCTATCCGAATGAGGTGCTCAGCGATGCGGTGTTACGGTGGTTAGTACAGGGAGTCAGGGACGTAGACGGCGACTCCCCCACCCCATTAATGCCTAATACCGAGCACCACATCTCCACTCTCAGCACGCGGCTTGGCGAATCCTCGTTAGCATTGCCAAAGGAGCGTGCAGCACCGAGTGCACGCACAGGAAGCGGCGACATCTACGGCGACGTCCTCGCCTACGCCCCCGGCGGCGTGCTGTTCAGCGCTATTCAACGGACCTCCCGCTCCATCACTAGTGCTCTAAACAACGTGTTCCCCCAACTCGGTGATAACCTACAGGGCCTACTGGGTATCAAGACGCTCGTTGGTATCCTGACTGCTACGGCTGATCGCCGGATACCGGGGACGCAGGCGGATGTGTATCCGTATATGGAGGAGGAGAGTGTGGTGGTTGAGGGGGGGAGGGAGGTTAGATTTAAGGTGGAGGAGTTGGCTAGACTGAACGAGAAGAATGAGAGGGGGGTGTTGAGGTATCCGAGTCAGACGCTTGAGGCGTTTTTGTTGTGGAAGAGGGTTTTTGGGAGGGAGGAGAATGAGTGATGGGTAAGGTTGTGGTAATGAGTGTGTTTTCGGTTCTTCTGTAGATATTGTGGTGGTGGTAAGGGTAGACATTGCTTCTTAGTTGGCTTCAATATGGCTTCGCTTTACTTGCTCTTGTTCATCTGGAAAGCAGCTTCATTCGAAAACGCCTTCTTGTCAACGACTTGATCCCTAGTAAAATATCTATTAGATTCTCTTCTATGTTGTGAATATATCCATCATTAACGTAAAAGGACCCCTTCATCTTGCACAAGCACATTTCATCCCCGATAGTACACAATAGAGGCAAGACTTACTTCTTGCCACGGCCTCCGAAACCCCATCGAATCTGATTCGCCCAGCGTCCCTCAACACCAAGATCATCCGCACACTGCCAGACGAAACCAGGGTTCTTCTGGAACATGCGCCCGATGAACGCAACGTCGAGGTTGTCGTTCTCGAGATACCCGTTTGCTTGCTTGCCATCGGTGATACTGCCCACGGTGCCGACCGCCATCTTGTCTCCCACCTTGTCCTTGACTGCCTTGGCGAACGGCTCTTGGTAACCTGGTCCGCCGTGGATATGCTGTTTCTCGTGGAGACCACCGGATGAAACGTCGAGCAGGTCTACGCCCCGATCGGCGAGTATCTCAGCGAGTTTGACGGTCTGGTCGACGGTCCAGCCCTCGATGCCGGCTTCGTCGAGCCAGTCTGTTGCACTGATGCGGAGAACAAGTGGCATGTCCTTGGGAATAGTCTTGCGGGTGAGATCGACGAGTTCGAGGGTAAGGCGCGTGCGGTTCTCGAAGGAGCCGCCGTATTCGTCGGTGCGGTGGTTGGACGCGGGAGACAGGAAGGTGTGCAGCAGGTAGCCGTGTGCGTTGTGGATTTCGATGGTGTCGAAACCGATGTCTACGGCGCGCTTGACGGCGTCGACGAAGGCTTGCTTGAAGGCTTCGATGTCTTGTTTTGTCATCTCCTTGGGCGTGCAGTGCTTGTCGTTGAAGGCGATGGCGGAGGGCGCGTAGACGTTGTCGGGCCAGCCGTTTAGTTCCTTCGTTGCGATGTCGCCTTTGCTGAGCCACGGGGCGACGGTGCTGGCTTTGCGGCCAGCGTGTGCGAGTTGAATGCCGATTTTCTGGCCTTGAGAGTGCGCGAATTCTACAATCTTGCGCAGCGGCTCCTTTTGCGAATCTTTCCAGAGACCGCAGTCTTCGGGTGTGATTCTTCCTTCGGCTTGTACGGCGGTGGCCTCGACAAATGTCAGACCGGGACCGCGCTGGATGATACCGCCCAAGTGTGTGAGGTGCCAGTTCGTCTGGTGACCGTCTTCGGCGGAGTATTGGCAGAGAGGGGAGAGGGCGAGGCGGTTCTGGATCGTCATGCCGCGGAGCTTGAGGGGCTGGAAGAGCTTGGGGATCTTGTCGCTGCCGTCGAGCATGCCAAGGGCCGTTCCGGCGACGGGCTCTTGTGCGGGAGTGAAGTAGGGAATCTGAATAGGTCAGCTAGGTGAACGCATGGGGTTTGGATGTGAGCATACCCCAGGGGCGGCCTTGTTTCTCAGCTCATCGTGCTTGGGAACCTGTTCGCTGTTCTTATCTTCGGGGATGTCCTTTGCGATCGCATGATGCGAGTGCGGCTTGTCGGTATCAGCCTCGATTCCCATTATGGCGGTTGTTGCTATGTAAAATCGGATGTGTGGAGTGTGAGGAGTGTTTGTCGAGAGTCGGAAGCTCAATGGATATAGAAAGAGGAGGGTGGGTGGACAATGGCATCTTTATACGCTCCTGCCATTCTTCTCGAAAGTACCGGCATGACGTGCATGTTTGGACATTGCTACCACAGAACCCCAGCCGTGGGGCATCTTTGGCGCCCCGCCTTCCTCGTTCGGCATGGCTCGTCGCTAGCAGCTCATCATTACGCTGCGTCCTGATTTGTAAGACGCACGTTGTCGCATTCGCCGATAGGCGTCGGGTAGTCGACTGTGTTGTTGAGGGCGCGCGTACCTGAGCGATGGTTTGCTGTACTTTGGTAGAGCCAGTCAGGAGTCTGCTAGGAAGCTTAGACATGTGCTGACAGAGATAGCCGAGTAACATAATCAGTCCTTCTCATGATCTGCGTGCATCCGTCATGCTGTACGCTATATAGCCTGAGGCTTGTTCGCCCTTACTTCGGAATACCTTAGCATTTGCACCTGTTCGCTACTTATTGAGCTTCACACAGCATGTCTCAGAAACTTGAAAGGTATACTTGCATGCCTTACTAAGCATCGTGATATACCCGGCGGCTACTTGGCCATTGCGACGCGGCTCAAACTCGGCCCAAGCCACGCCGCCGAACTCTACCGCTCCAAGCCATTAGTGCTGGAATCGATTCTGTCTCACCGACTTCCCAACTCAGTATACCAAGTCTTTTACGCTGGTATCGACCCTGCTAATTATGCGACAAGCGTGGAGCGTAAAGCTTCGTTAACCATGGCGTCTTGTCAAGCTTTCTCTCGTGCGTGTAAGCACTATGTGTGACACAGCCTATGCAGCTTTGAGCACTACCCAACCAACGCACGCGTCGCGCACCATCAAGCCTGCCCGTCCAGTCTCGGAGGCCAGTTAAGCGCTCGATACCCAGACCCATACAAGTCATCCGGATCCTCATGCTCGATAACTGGAACCCTCGGATACTTGAGATAGCAATTGGGCTGAGCTTCAAGATCAGGCCTGTACGTTTCGGCCTCTTTCCCTGGCCGAAGCACAGCGTAGCTTCGTGTCGCGAATCCATTCTCAACACCGTTACACTCCATGTATATATTCCCTACGCGCCATTCGCTTTCCATATCCGAGTCCGCCATATCATACACGTCCTGTGCGAGTTCTACAGTCGGCTGGACGATGCGAAATCCGTTCAGCTCTTCTTCCCACCGCAGGACTTGCTCTATCAGATCACGGGGATCTTGATTGCGCCACCGAGTTGTTCGCATCTGGTAGCCGTGATCGGGAAACGGTCTTGGGAACCTGACCATCATGAAGTTCAAACTCTTCATATCATGTCGGATGGACCTCAATGATCGAAGGATTCGATGGTATGTGAGTTCTGTCGTCAAGGGACCTTGGATGAACACGGAAAGGCGTTCGAGGTTCGGAAGACTTTGAATGGCTCTGGCGATACTAGGACTTGACCCTGATGTACTGAAAGTCTCAGTGCTCCATGGAGATGGTAAGCCGTCTGCTACGTCATACAAAAATTGACGCTGAACAAGCTCGCGAAACTGGAAGTGAATGTGCAATGAGCGAATTTGGGATAGGTGCGATGCAAGAGCAGCCCGACGGAAGTCAATCAGAACCGTGTTGTGAAGCATCGCGAAGGTGTTCGATCCATAAAGCATATCGATGGTTTCTCGGTAACTAGATGGAGCGTTGTTAGTTGCAAGGCTGGATTTTAGCATGCGCCCGTCTCTCTTACACTAGCTGGCATGACTGGAGCACCGCCAACACGTTGGTCTTCTCCCGCTTGCCGTGCAGGTTTGCAGCGTAGTCGATGTGGACTGCCTGGATAACTGCCGGTGTAATGTTTTCAACCTCCAAAGGGCCCTCATCCTCCAGGAGCTCGTAGGCGATTCTACCGTTCTTGTAATACAATGCGATGTGCTTTTCGCCTAACAGATGTTTCCAGATGATAGAACGTAGCTCGGCGGGCAGATTCAAAAGCTTGCTCTGCGACTGAGAGCTTGCCAAGTCGTTGCGCAGCGATAGCGGGATATATGGAGGTTCTGGGGTCACTTTCTCCGGAGTGACACTGTGAGGGGTGCTAGGCCAAAGGCGAACGCACAGGCAAGCCGCAAGATTCCACGGAAGACAGATGAAGAATCGGGCGCCTCTGCGCCATTGAGCTGCCTTACCCGTCCTCCTCGGCCGATTGTTGACCTCGATCTGCATAATGAAGATGCGATGGGATGGTTGGGCATGCGACGATTTGGAAGCTGCCGTTCAAAGAGTGGCAAGTGCGGTCAGCTGGCGGGCTGTCCAGTCGCAGCGAGTTACATGTTGCTGCCTGCAGGACAGGGCTCAACCGTGCCGCATGCGGAGGTGTGAACTCTGCAACATCGTCATTTATGACTCTTACACACTCCAAGATACTGGTGCGGGACAGTACTTCCAATCCGAGGTCCAATCCAGATACCACTGCCTGCGCGTACTAATCAACATGCAGTCCCACCACGCGCAGGACGTGGCCATCGTACCAAGCCTGGGAGAAGAACAAGAACACCGCGCGCATTCACGGGCTGCGCTCTGGACACACGGCATGAGGGGCTTTCTAGACAAGAAAATTCGACTCGCAAACATAATTCGTGAAGAGCTGGGCGAAATGATGGAAGAAAGACGGCGGAAAAAGGAGGCGGAGAAGGTGCGAAAGTACAAACCTTTGGAGCTGCGCGCTCGCAAACGTCCCACACAGGAGAAGAGCCGTCTTCTCAGTCTACCAGCTGAGATCCGGATCATGATCTGGGAGTATGCCATGACTGGACAGTTCATCGTACTCTATCGAAAGCGGGGCAAAGTCACGTCTAGTGTCTTCGACAGCCATGGCACTACGAGTGTCACCAATGCAACTGTCTCGATCATGACCAGCATAGCCATGGCTAAAGCGGAATCAGGCGCCATGTCTTTGCCTCTGACTTGCACGACCACGTAAGTCATCAGACAGAGCGACCTTGCGGAAGCTCGCGGACTGACGTATCAGATATCTGGAAACGATGACGATGCTTTATCAGGAAAACACGTTTGTCTTCCTCGATACCACCGTGCTAGTCGAACTGTGTAGGGAACGATCCCGGTTCAACATAGCTCTCATTCGCTCTTTACATTACTTCGTCGGCACCCGGAAGTTCTCTTGGTATGGAACGTCACTACCAGAGCTCGATATGATTCCGTCTCCTACCCATACCGAGAGATTAGAGTGTGCAAGCAAGGCTTTTTACAAATGTCTACCAAACCTTCAGCAACTCTCAATATTCCTCTACGGCCCCATCCGTAATGCTGAGGACTACACCAATATGCTAGAGCACTTGCACAGCGTCTATCGAGACCAAATTTCCATCGACATGAACGCGTTGGGAGTGAGCGAAGATTATCTATTCCGCCATCGTTCTATGCGCGCCAGCATCCACGTGCAAGGTCTCTCGAGACTGACCTCTTTCTCACGCATTCCATTATTGAAGGATACCAAGCGTCCGCATTATTACACTGGACCTTCGCGTTGGCCCAAAGTTGATGACACATTAGTCGAAAACTCTACTTGGAGGGCTGAAATGCTACATCTAGGATCTTATGATCAAGCAGAGGGTCCAAAGGCCCTGGTACATGTGGTACTCCGACCCGAAGATGAATCAAGGAGGATGGTAGGGCAGTTTGAACCGGCAATACTCTGGGATCTTATTCCCGACAGCTAGGGGAGTAAGCAATTACATCAATGCTGACTGGTTGTCTGTGCATGAACCTTCCAATTCCTGTTTTGGGCTCGCATACACGTTGAAGGAGAGTTTGACTGCCGAGTGGAGTCGGATGCATCGGCACTCTCCATCGCCCGACGATCTGTACCCAGCAAGGCGACGTCAATGCAGACATGACGAAGGCGCCTGCCTGGTCAGGAAGCCCAATGATGCGCATCACGCGTGTTTCGTTTCGAGAGGGCTGAGGCTTCAAGGCTGAGGCAGCCGATGTTCCCGATGCTTCCCAAGTAACCGGTCCTTCTGCGCGTGACGTTATGTGGGAACTTGCCGGCAAGGCCGAACGCCCTTTTGGAAGCTTTGCATGCATGCCTCGGACAGGGAGTGTGGCATAACACGCCGAAGAGCAGGATGATACGCTTTTGTTGCAACCGCCTGTGCCACAGCCACAGGTGGTGCGAGAAGCCTCTCTGGAGGTCAAGTTCGCAGTGGGGCCATCGTCTACATGGCGAAGTAGAGGCGGCCAAAGCGGTGATAGGGTCTTTGTTAGATGGAATCGCAATTTACCCCACGGCGATTGCGGCGCATGATGAGAGGAACAGGCTAGCGGGCTGCTATCTTGGGCAAGGTGAAGCATGGGGCCAAACAAGGACGGATGTGGCGCCGGCCAATGGCAGACAAGCCTCAACCCTCCGCCAGCCGCTGCCCTCGAACGCGACCGAGTATCACCTGTTGACGCTCCCTCGACACCACTCGTGGCCGTTTTGTGCTCCATCGACAAACGTAGACGCCTGCGCTGCGATTCACTCACTTGCTCGCGTCATAGTATCTTGTACTCCATTCGTGTTGTGTTCACCTTGCGACTGCCGCTCGACACCCCCTCGCGCCTGCCGCTCCCTGACGCCCGTACCCACTCGTTCACCCCAACTATAGTCTTCGCATTCACCACGGCGCAAAGCCAGCAACAATAGCCCGAGTAACAACAATACCACTGTTGTCGCTATACATATACGTACGCAGCCATCGGACACGCCTCTTCCGCTGTCACCGCTGTTCAAGCCTTGCGCATCTCAAACACGCAACGCTCCACCCACGCGCACACGTCTCTTGTCATGCGCACGGCACTCTGGTAGCATTCCGAACACCCACCTTTTTGGAAAGCCCTCCGTCCCCGGCCACCCGCCGCAATCCTCCGCCTGCTTAACAAAACTACCGCCCCTGTCGCTCTTTCCCTCGCTCGCTAGTGGTGAGCAGCCGGCCTGTCACCACCATATCGCGAATACTCACTCGACAACCGAAATTGCCTCCTCCTTTTGGCTACAACAACCAACCCATGTCCTAGCGACCAAGTCACTCCTTAGACGAACAGCTGGACTGCAGGCCACCGTACCGCTGAGCGGATACTTACATACACACATACGTACATACCGACTAATACCGAATCGCCAACATGGGGTGCTGCGGAGACCGCGAAAAGGGAACTACGGTGACGGAGGAGCAGAAGTGGACTTATATCGTAAGCACTTGAGCGCGAATATGGAAGCGCATCGCTAACTGTCTTAGAACTTGTCCGATTTCAAGTCTACATCTTGCCTCGCACCCTTCTCTTACGCCTGGCTGTGGATTCTCGTCGTCATCTCATGCGCCGTCTACGCCGCCGACGCTTTCACCGCCGTTAACCTACTCGCATTTGACAAATGGACGAGCCAGGTCAAGCCTACCGTGCCTTTCGACATTGCCAAATGGATCTTCGCCATCACCATCATCGTCTCCTACGTCTTTCTCGCATACCGATGGATCCGGGCTCTGCGCGTCATGCGGACAGGAAGTGTCACCGAATGCTACCTCGAGCCATTGGCTGCTATACTGCAGAGTATGCGCATCACAAAGACTGGCCAGGGCTGGCGCCGCTTCTTGGTCTTCGCAGAGTTGACCAAGAGTAAAAAGGGTGCCAACTACATCGCTCTCTTCGTATACTTCCAGTTCAAGAGTGCTCTTCTCATCATTGTCGCCCAGGGACCTCGCATTGCCCTCAATGCCATGACTTTATACGCCGTCATGCAAGCGCAGCTCATACCCGTCGGCGAGCACGCGTCAGAAGATCGCTCCAACTTCGAGCAGTTCTTCATGAACATCAAGCTCATGGTCGAGACCGGCAACAAGCAGGAAACAGTCATCTACTTCACCATGTTGTTCTCTCTCGTCATCTGGGTCATCGCTGCGCTGGGTCTCATTATCGCTGGCATCTTGTACCTCTTCTTCCTCTGGCACTACATCCCCAAGGCCGATGGCAGTCTTACCAACTACTGCCGACGCAAGGTTGAGACCCGTCTGGAGCGTATTGTGGGCAAGAAGATCAAGAAGGCCATCGAGAAGCAGAACCAGCAGCTGAAGAGGGAGGAGGAGAGGGCCATCAAGAAGGGCGAATTTGACGCTTCCAAGTCCCGTCCTACGCTACCCAAGCTCGAAGGCGACGATGACGATACATCGACTGTCTTCTCGCTGCAACGATCCGATACGATGCAGACCACCGCGACACTACCGCCGTATACCCTCGCAAACACACCTTCATACAGAACAAACCCGGAGCGATCGAACACCTCGAACACCTTCACCACCATGAACTCGGGCCGAAACTTGATGAACAAGCCGTCTTTGCCCACGCTAGACGAGCGACCTGGCATGCCAGAGAGGGACGCACAATTCACAAACTTCTCGACTGCCAGCTTCGCTTCAAACGCGCCAATGCTGAACCAGGCAGGAGGTATGGGCAGGTCCTCGCCTGCACCACAAATGCCACCTCTAGACCGTAACGGCACTGGGTACTTTGGCCAGCAAGACAACCTGCCTTACCAGTCCGACCGACCTTTCACACCAATGTCACAGGGCAGAGCGTCCCCACTCCCACCACGTGGGCCCATGCCCCCTGTGGATACAAGCTACAACAACGGGCGATACGAGAACGATCCTCAACTCATAACTCCCCTCGATGCGCGGAATACACCACAACAAGCTCACCCCAACCGACCGTACCAAGAGTTCAGCCCCTACGACAGCCGGGGTCCTCAGATGGGCCCGGAGTATGAGCTGTCACCTGTCGATGTCAACCCCACAGAAGATATCTCGCAGCACTACTTCTCGGACTCAAATGGACAGCCCGACTACCAGCCACCTCAAATGCCCAGCTTGTTAAGAGCTGGCTCACCCGCCCCATCACAACCCATGGGTCTACCATCGCAACCACGCTCAGGTACCGCACCTCCACGATCTGGCACCGCGCCACCTCGAGCTGGTGTCCCAGCATCACTGCAATCAGCAATTCAGCGTCGCGAAGCCTCACAACCTTTCCCCAACCGAGGCATGAACGGCTCAGCTCCACCTCAACAACAACAGCGCAGTGCAACAGCACCGATTCAACAACCAGGTTGGGCTCAGGGCCCTCCTGCCCGTAGCTACACACCTCAGGGTCCCGGCCCCCAACGTAGCTACACACCCGTCTCTGGACCCCAACAACAACAACAGCAACAACGCAGTTACACCCCCACTGCGCCTCGTGGCTACGACAATAGCTACAACTACTGATCTCCCTCATTTCACTTTTTTTTTTATACAACGTTTGGAACCACCACATTCATGCATCTCACGGCGTTCACTTCTACTCTCCATCTGTCATCTTTGTGCCTGAGGCCGCCCAAACCCCCATTCTTTCCTTACAACTCTTACATTCATACGCACGACGCTTCTCTCCTCCACTTCAATGTGTGTGAGTGAGGGGAATGTTTAACGACCTTTGTTCTGTTTTCTACTTTCGCTCTTTAGCTTGGTTTCGAGATACCCCCCACCCGCATGGCTGGCCTCGGACGTCCTTTCGCTCTTTGATTTTACGCGTTCACCTGGAGGACTTTGGTTGGATGACTTGGTGGAATGATTTATCTGGTTATGTGGAGAGAGGCTTGTCTCTTGTGATGGATGAGGGGATGAGGAGATGGGATCTAGGCTTTGGCTTAGACATGTATAGGTAGCGTGGTTGGGTTACATCGCCCTCAAAAGTGAGGACTGTCTGCGCTGGGAGAGGCGCGCATACGTGTATTATATACCCACTTCTTTTGCAATTCGTGGAAAGCAATGGAAACTTGTGCATACTCATATCGAGATTTTCGCTTCACTCCAACCATATATCCTCCCGATGCTGATCATTCGTCATCTCATTGAAAGCCCGTTCATCCATATCGCGGAACTGCAACGA